CGCATTGTTTATGGATGACAGAATTGACAATGACTATTATGACGCATGAGTGCCAAGTTGAATTTTGAAATACTCTCCCCGATATACATCTTCCATTTTTGCGGGTGTGTAGCCCAGAAAACAGGGAGCTTATGTCTTAAGAAAGGCAGGATTGCGAGTTAGCCCGAAAGGTCTCCAGACGGCTACTTCAATTTAAAAACCCCGCACAAATATGGAACGCTCCCTTTTATAAAGGTGCACTCGAGGGCATGTCGACGACTGTCACAAAACATGGGCGTAAGCAAACATGTACCTATATCATATGACAAGCGTTTTAAATTCAGTAGCTGATGCGACTTTCTAAACCTTTTTTGGCGTTCAGGAGAGAAGTGCATGTACTTTAGCCGTGTTATATATGGGGTGCCGGTAGTGTAGTGGTTAAGGCGTCTGCGTTTATGTGTAGTGGTTAAGGCGTCTGCGTTAATCACTGCGCGTCTGGGAAACCATAGGTAGGGGTTCGATTCCCCGCGGTTGTCCGCCCTTCCTGCCAGGGTGAGAGGCAGGCGACGCCATATAGCCTCAGCAGCTGAGTGCGTCGTAAAGCCCCAATGACATGACAACTCCTTATGTTGATACCAGACTATGGTTGCATTCATGCCATTCAATGATTATATTGGTATCAGTTTATGGTTAGTAATTGCAGACTAAAATTTCATTGGTGTCAGATTTCGGTTACATCGGTGTCAGACTATGGTTGCACTGATGTCAGACTATAGTTGCATTGATGTAGAACGCGTACCATCTGTGAATGTATACCAACACGAACCACACGACATGGTGGTTGCAGTCAAAATTCTAAGAGAGACATATCTGTTCACATTTTGTATAGATGCAGTCAGCTGAGATGGTTCGAAGCCGACATGATCCAGCGGCAAGGATAACCATTTGCTTTCATTTAATATCATGCGCAAGTTAATGTCTACTAAACGTGCGCTCCACAATCAGTTTTCACCTTTCTCAGTGGGATGATTATTAATTGTACACAAAACATTTCGACGCTGACTCATATAAATACAAGCCACTGCATTTCGGGCAGCAATCCCCCCTCAGGTTCTAACGAGTCATGAGATGGGCCAAAAGCGCAACAAATTGCGGTGACGAAACACGTTGCCTACACTGTATTTCCACACAAATAACCTTCAAAATTACCTACCAAAACAATCCAAGCATCCCGACCGTCTGATCCGGCGTCAGCGGTGCCCGGGCCGTTTGATCCGGCGCCAGTGGTGCCCAGCCGTCTGATCCAGCGCCAGTGGTGTCCCGGACGTGTGGTCCGGCGCCAGCGGTGCCCCGACCGTCTGGTCCGGCACCAGTGGTACCCGACCGTCTGATCACGCGCCAGTGGTGCCCCAACCGTCTGATCGGGCACTAGTGGTGGCCGACCGTCTGATCCGGCGCCAGTGGTGCCGACCGTCTGATGCGGCGCCAGTGGTACCCCAACCGTCTGATGTGGCGTCAGTGGTACCCCAACCGTCTAATGCGGCGCCAGTGGTGCCCAGCCGTCTGATCCAGCGCCAGTGGTGCCCCGGCCGTCTGGTCCGGCGCCAGCGGTGCCCCGACCGTCTGGTCCGGCACCAGTGGTACCCGACCGTCTGATTCGGCGCCAGTGGTGTCCGACCGTCTGATTCGGCGCCAGCAGAGCCTCGGGCGCCGGCACGGGCGGCGCGTGGGGTCATAAAAGGGAAAGGCAGCCGGGCGGCAGACGATGGCCACACGGCCCGCGCTGGCTGTCGCCCCGAGCGGGGCCTGTCCCGGCCCGATGACAATCGCAATGGCGCAAGGCTATTGAACTCAGGCGGCAGCGCAGCTAGACGTTGTGAAAACTGAAACGCTGAATGCTCAGTAAGGTGTTTGGTGAGGAAATTGCGTTTCCATCGATGCATAGGTAAACGAGACAAGGAAATAGGTCTGTGCGGCCTGTTCACGGATGCTTTCTAGCAATATATCACTAAAGATGTGCGTACAAGATAAAATGCAGTATAAGGCGTCTCCGTGCATTTTAGAACGTGTCGAAGCGCTGTCCAGACCAAATTTATGGAATGACATGGAATGTACACCACCTGAGCATATTTCTGCTGACATCAATATCGTTCACATTTCGGGGTCTGGACTCTTTTCTTCGTCTGCAATCAAAGGATCTGCAAACACTGCGTTGCAGCACACATGCAGTTAAATACAAATGCATGTATCCGGCCAACGACGGAGCCGCAACAAGCCTGCGCTATCGCTGATGGTACCACTCAGCTTATGCTAATGCCGCAGGAAGTTTCTGACGGATTGCCGGTTTCTCGGACAAACCAAACTGCACTGCATGCAGAGAGCACGTGACCGTGCATGATGCAACTCCACGGAAATATAGTGCGGAAAAAGCATAAATGCAAGGCTGCCTGCGAGACGCTGCGCCGTTTGCACGGGCAGACGAGGTGAGAGACGACGCGAGACGGTAGATAGGAAAGGCCGCGGAATGGGAGGCGGTGGAAGGAGATGGTGCAGAGACGGGAGACTAGAGGCGATTTACAACGGAAATAAGGAAGTGAGGCGATGGGGCAGGAGACGGCGGAGACCGCGCTTTGTGCAGACGGGAGACTCCGGGAGAATGAAGGCTGAGTCGGGAGACGGTGGGGCTGGATACAACGGAGACGGGGGGGTTTGATGTAACGGAGGCAGGGTGCAACGGACACGGAGATTTCGGGAGCGCAAACAGGGACAGCGGGGAAAGCACACGTAATAGACAGGGGATTGCATGAGGAGAAGCGACGGAGGCAAGAGGGGGCAGAAAGAGAAGACAGAAGGGGCAGGAGATAGTAGGGATGGGAGGGGACGCGTCAAGGATGGGCGGCTCACGCCTCACCGACCGCGAGGTATATCGCGAGGCACCAAAGACAGCGGAGACGCCGCGGTGGGCTAGACAGCCGGCCCAGGTGGCCGTGACTAGGTCAGCGAGGACAGGTTCTGGCGGTGACGTGGGCCGGCCGCCGCGGCCGTGCCGGCCCCAGTCAGCTCGCCACCGGCCCGCGAGCGAGGCACGCGAGAGGCCGGAGAAGGCGGGACAAGCCACGGCCGGGAGACGGGAGCGGACGGAGCGGCGGTGAGCGGGAGCGGACAGCGGACCGAGCGACGACGAGCGGGAGCGGACAGCGGACGGAGCGGTGGTGAGCGGGAGCGGACAGCGGACGGAGCAGCGGTGAGCGGAAGCGGACAGCGGACGGAGCGGCGGGGAGCGGGAGCGGACAGCGGACGGAGCGGCGGTGAGCGGGAGCGGACAGCGAACGGAGCGACGGCGAGCAGGAGCAAACAGCGAACGGAGCGACTGCGAACGGGAGCGGACAGCGGACGGAGAGACGGCCAGCGGGAGCGGACAGCGGACGGAGAGACGGCCAGCGGGAGCGGACAGCGGGCGAAGCCAACTGATCGCAAGTCCACAGGTGTCAGGTAAGTCGAGCAGGGGCGGCGGAGACGGGACACATAGCAGACAGGGGGCTACGTGTTGGTGAGTGGAGACGGCCGCTACGCTACGTTGGTGAGTGGAGACGGCCGCGCCCTCCCTTCCAATGAGATCTCGATCGGTGGTCGGCTGGGGCCGGTTCGAACTGTTGGACTGTCGGAAAGTCGCAGGCCCCGGACGATGCGCCACCCTGGCGGGAACATCGCATTGGTTGGAAAGGGGTCGCCAGCAGTGAGGCGGGCGGGCGTGCCTTGCGGATGAATGCGAGGCTCCGCGCTGGCCAGGTGAGCAATGGTGGAGAGAGAGCTGTACTCCGGCCGCTTCCCTACACAAACAGGCCGTGTGCGGCTGTCAATGTCACCCGGCCACCTCCTAATCCGTTGTTGATCAGCTGCTAAACCGGTCTTGGAGTTCTGGCGTCGTACGACGGTACACAAAAGGGGGCAGGCACGGAGTCGGACGGTGGCAGACGGAAATTCGTCGTATTCACGCACAGGTTCTATAACAGTGTCATCATCAATTTGCGCTATCATGTAAGAATACGGTGATTCCGGTGGTGAGAGGACATGGTGTATGCAAAGCAAACCACGGTGCCGTGCTACTGTGCGAGTGCGCGCAAACAGTATGGGAGACAGGAGCCGGGCTTACATTTACATTGTGGGAAACCTTGACAGTCGAGCCTATCGAAAAGCATATGCAAACTATAATGGCTATCTTATTTTGCGTTTGACTGTCGCTCGCGGTTGGGCACGGGCAAATAATTTAGGCGGGAAAATAACATGGAATTTGTGTTGCAGTCTCTGAATGTCGTTTTTCTGTATCTTTCTGAAGATGCCAAACAATAGAGCGTGTTTACCAGTTGTGAATTATGCGCAAGTGTGATAAAAGCACAACTAAGACGATTTCCCCAGAACTCAATTCAGGCCAAGAAACATTTGTGTACGGGAAATTCGCCATCACTTGTCATCGCGAAATCCATAAGCCCATCAGTTGTGTTTAACATAACCCAATCATCCACCACCGCTTTTATGCGGTAGCAGTATAACTGACGAAGCACGGTAACCCTTCGTAAAAGTGTGGCGAGGTCAGTCATGGCTGAGTTACTTCAGCCCACATGTCCATCCCCGCAGTCTTCCAGCTTGACTTGCAGTGCCATTGCAGTTAATCCCTAAGAAAGTCTACCAAATAAGTACGCATGCGTGACGACTGATCGCATGACACGCTGAGCCCGGCATGAAGCGTGTCTGGTGTCGTCACAGGATCGCGATGCCTAGCTCTCATAAAGCCTGATCATACCCCTAGTTGCGGCCAAAACAGCAGAGCATACGCAAGTCTACACCGCGGCCGATATCCTGCACAGCTGTTTCGACTTATATATAACTCGACGTATATCGACACACCAATTAGATGGCTAACAAATACAATTGTCGGGAAAATTTCCATCACGCGGTCTGCGGTTTTCAGCGGTTCCCGGACAGGCAGCGAACATGGAGGGGAATGTGGAAAAGAAGCCCTATCAAGCAATCTAGCAGGCCTGCTATCAGACGCTTTTGTTAAGGTCTGCTGGCCTCCATAACCTTTTAGACTGGTCACCTTGAGCGGCGGTTGAGCTATATACGCTGCCGGGAGACAGAGGGGCAGAACATTCCGTGTTAAGCCCCGATTTGATATGAATCTATGTAAAATTCAAGGTCGGTACAGGTATCCTCCACCCCAGACCGTACAGACAGTCCATCTTTGTATGGCAGTTGTATCCATCTGGCTGGCCGCTGGTTCTCTCCACAGAACCAGGATCATTCAGGCTATGGAAGCTCGATCCTTCTGTTCGTATTTTGTTCATCGTGCCGATGAGCCCCTTTTCCTTTTAGGGGCTATTTAAAAATAAATGTGCCTGCTTAATGTTTACAGCGAACGTCCGTGCTTTCTCCACGCTATTTCTGAAGAAGCTAAGAGATCGGAAGAGTAGCAATACCCTACGACTTTTTTATTTCACAGCACATTTTTGGCCGTGATTTTGACAGACAGACAATTGGCAGAAGCGCCTAAAGCATGACTGAATACAGATCGAATTCATTTTCGCAAGAAATGGAGATTTCGAAACAACAGTCCGTGCTTAGCAAAGCGGCTTACTGTAGAGCATGGAGCCATGTGACACAGCAAGTCACCATGGTGCATTGTACTTCGGTAATAGCTTTGCGTACAATGCAAAAAAATATTAACTGTGCTAGATGCCTTTGATCTAGTCTCAAACAAGGCAAACCGCATTGAGGCCCGTCGACCAGAGGTGATATGTGCACTCCAAATGGACGTCCCTGCGCCACCGCCAGGCAACGATCGCCATGTTCATTGTTTAATACAAATATGGCTGACCCGACCCAAACATTATCCACCACGTCGTTTAAATCTGTCAAACCTCAAATATTCAAGCTAAGCATGTTAGAGGATAGTTCACTTTCCGAAGTCATCTTAAACCCGAGGACCTCAAAATCGGCCCAGTATGTTTCGACATTCAAAAATGGTCAAATTCGTCCCGTAAAGACAATAGGCGTAGCTTATCGCACAAAATAGTGAAATAGCATCATGAGTCTACAGTAACATCATGAAAACGCAAAAACGCCTAACTTAGTTTAAACAATCTCTTTAAATGCTTTTCAGATTCTTTATTTTCGAAGCGATATTCATGTTTCCAGTTGTGGCAACCAGCCTCACACAAAATTTCACTAACGGCTGTTGCAAATTGAGCATAATGCCCAATAATCTTTAGTTGTTCTTTGAACATGAGGAACTTTTGTTTGTCATAATGGGTACGATCACATCATATTGTGTAGAGACAGACAATTTTTAAGATGTACCACGCTCCAAAGCTCTCAGACCCAGCTCTCAATAAATCCTACCTAAAAAAACAATCTGTCGATGGGAGAATACCGATGGCAATCGATTTGATGGCAGGAAAGGAATGATGAGCGCTGGACCACGACGGCCATGAGGCATACAGCAACCATTCGTGCTAACTTGTCCAAGCATACGCATCAACCAAGCTTTGCCCGTGAATCTCGCGCAGGTGCACGGAAGCAGCATTTAAGAGCTGCTTATCTGGAAGCTATGTTATCTGGACCGTCGACTAGGAAACTTTTCCAGCATGCACAGTTCTGGTCTCATGTAATGAGCCTGACATAGTTCCTTCACATCGACACTCGATCTTACCTGCGGATCGTGCTGGCTGATTCCAGCGTAGCATGAAAATGGAAATAGTTCATCGCGTCGACTTCCTATTTTGAGGCATAGGATACCGAAAACGGCTCATGCCATCAGGCACCATGGTCTCCCAAGTCTGTCTCCGCTTCTGACAGACGGCGGAATCATGCATGCATGACTCGAATGCACGGGGCGGAGGCGGAACATTGCACAGCGCTGAGTCGATAGCGGTTCGCAACAGGCTCGGATGTGATGCATGATATGTACATATTGAACCGTGCATTTTTGTGTCGCTAAGGCGAGGTGATGAGGAAAGACGGACTTGAAGTCCACCTTCCGCGCATATATCTATGCCATACCGGGAGCGCAAATAGTCGCTTGGTTGTGCGAAGGGGAGTGGTTGGACTGTTCGTGTCCATCATAACCTATCCCTCCATGCCTGACTGGGTTAGGCCATTAACCACCGGCGAGTAAACGTCTGAAAGAAAGTGGGATGACTTAACCAGTACTGAGGGCGATTCTTTCCATACCTTGCCATGGAGTTCATCTTCAGCGTTCTCGGAAAGTGGGGTTGCCATCGCACGCACTAAGCCCCCCCCCCCCCTCCCCCTCCTCCACATTTCTACGCCCATATCAACGAATTTCGACGCCGAACGCATGAAGACACCGGACGTTAGTGCAGTCAACATGCGGGGTCGCATGCCTAACGTTCACTTATCTCGACCAAACTGTTCTATTTTCCGCGACGCATTTCATGTCATGATAACAACGAAACGAAACAACGAAACACGTGGACATCACGCCAAGGCCTCATCAGCGCCTGCGGCTGTTCCAACTGGTGAGGGTAGTTACCACGAGTGCCACACGCAGCACTCGCTGGCGAAGCGTGGAGGCACGCCACGCGCACCCTCCGACAGCGACCTCACCGATGCGCCATAGCTAATGTACGCATGGGTGTGCTTTTGCTTTCGGTTCCTTTGGTTCGTTTTCTTCGGCTCTGCGTTACAAGACAGACGATCAAGCAGTGGAATGAGCGGAGACAACCAGAGACGATCAACCGGCGGGGTGTCTCTCGTCTCCAGTCCCCGATGCGCCAGCGTCCCAGCATGCCGTTTCCTCTCGCGCTGAATGGGAGGACGACGCGGGATGCCGCTCACCAAGCCACGCGAGTGGAGCGGCCTCGTCGCGCGCCCGAGGTCAGGCGGGCCGAGAGTGAGAGTGCGCGGAGGGAGGGAGAGAGCGTGGGAGTCGGCGGATCGGCAGAGAGCACGTGACCGTATGCGTGTCGCGCGTATGAGGCGGAAAACGCCTGCATGCCTGCGTAGATGTCTAGAGTGACTACCCGAAAAAGAGCAGAGAAAGGCAAACCAGTGCGGAGGAGCAGTCGCACCTGACGCCTGCGGCCAATAGGTGCACTCCGCTCGCGGCGTTCCACGCGCACGCGCAGTAGCTGCGCCCTGCCAGGCGGGGTCAAGGTCGTGCGCTCTGCGCTGAGGTGGTAACGCCGCTGGGGGCGGTTGATGACTCACGGTAGGCATTCAGGGATCGGGCCCGGAGCCGCCGCTACGCAGTGCCGGGCCGGTTTGAAGCGGCCAGAAAGGATGGCGTGCGGCGGATGGGGTGTGTTTGGCCAGGTGCAGGTGCAGATAAAGGATTTCGTCAAGTCAGAGGTCACGCTTCGCTGTGATGCCCCCAGGAACTTGTCCCCCCTCACCAAGGAATCACGGGATTTCGGCCACTTAAGTTCCCAGATTCTCGTTTTTAATCGGCTGGCTATCTTCCACCAAAACGG